AAAAATTCTGAATTAACAAAAGTATGTATTTTCTGTTCCAAGCCTTGTCTCTGTTACCTAAACTAAATACTAGAAACACAGTTTTAACTGGCAGTTACTACTATGCTTTATCAAATATTCTAAAAAATGTAGGTTCTTTCTGCATTTTTTATCACTTAAGATTTTCTCTTAAATTAGAGTTAGAAACACAATGAAAATCAAACAAGTTAATGGCTATACAAACTTCAACTCCAAAAAATAACTAGCTGTCTAGATACAATCTTGTTATCCTAATATGACAGATGTAGAAGATTTATACAAATGTGAAAAACGTTTTATGTTCTGCAATGCTAGATGAAATCTTTAATTAGGCATCAAATTTGTAAAATGTTAGAGATAGTATGTAGGTATATAGGGAAAATAAAAAATATAATTATAATGAAGAGTAAGAACTTTTAAATTTTAATATAACTAGAACAAAATATTCAGTAATTAAAAATTTTGATAGGAATTAAAAATTTGCTCGAGTATAAATGTTGTGCTTGTTTTTAAGTGGTTTCGATGTACTTTAGGTTTGTTCCAACAATGCTCAGAAATGAGTTACTGACATCAGGATTCTGCACAGTAGTTTATTGAGACTGCAAAATTGTGTACTACCCAGTGGTTTGTTTCTGATCGTTGGAACAGACCTTTTATTCAATATAGGTATAATCAAACAAGTTAAATGTGTATTTAGAATTTTTTTAATTTTACAAATCTGGAGCTTGAATATGGATTTTCAAATGATGCACTTTTTGTAGTTTTTAATAATGCTTATTTTTTTTTAGTTTCTTGTTCATTTAATAAAGATGCTTTTTTGTATATGGGGTGATAATTTTTAAGCAGAGGCGTGCAGCACCCACAAGATCACTGCCAGAATTAATTCAAATGGGTAATCTAAAAATATGGAGTAGGTTCCCTGCACAAGATTTTCAAGAACTTGTAAATACAATGTTTTAATGAATTATTGCCGTTATCAAAGTTAAAGGTGATGAAACACTCATGAAAATTTGTAAATATTTAACCCTTTCAGTGTATTTGTCCCTCCAGAGGGACACTCTTAATTAACCCTAAAGTATAAATCTGTTAATTTTGGTAGAATTTTTTTCTTTTTGGTTTATTTACTTTATTTGCATTACTTTTAAGGATTAATATTATAAAAAAATTATTTTCATAGTAAATTTTTGTTTTTGTAATGTCCCTGAACAGGGACGTTATGTCTTGGAGTAATAAAAAATACTATGAAAATATTTTAATTTACTTAAAATAAACAAAGAAAACATACAATCTACTACAATGGTATTTTTTTTAATGAAAGTGGAAGTGAAAGGGTTAAAAAAATAAAAGAATTTATCAGATTTATGTATGATTTGTTCTTGTAGTGACAGTCACTATAAATATGAGAAGTGTGCTAATTGAAACGGGACAGGGCTCATATAGTTTTATTTAAAAAGTAAACCTTGTCATTAATTAAATATAATAATTATTATATTATATTATTGAAATATATAATGTAAAACAAATTGTTGTAATGTTTTTCTGAAATCAGAAGTGTTGCCAGGTTTGTTACTGTCTGCTGCTGTGACGTGTACAAGCGAACATAATAAACCTACTTATTGAGTACATTAATATAAAAAACTCATAATAAATCTGGAAACTATACATTTGAAATTTTCCTACTTATTTTTTCATTACTGCTATTATCCAATAGAACAATTCCTATGCTTTTATTTAATATTTCATTTTCCACAAATAAATATAAAAAAATAATTAGTAAAATTATAAAATTAGTTCCAATTAAATAATGAACTATATTATTAATTGAAATTGTTAATATAAGAAATGAATAAATTAAGAAAATAAAAGTGTAATAATGGGAAATGTGTAAATTGTATTTATTTCTAATTTTAAATAATTTTGTGTGTATTGTTAATTTTTTTTCTAGTGTAAAATTAATAAATTAATAATTTTAACAAAAATTTAATGAGATGTTTTATTTGTGTTAGAATCCGAATACAATAAGAATGCTGCTGTCATAATGATTACTCTGAATTTCAAATACATAGTATCTATAACTTATCAATAAATAAATATTAAGTTGTTAGGTATAAAAAAATATTTCCTATATTCCTAAAAGATTAACACTTCACCTCCAGTGGATAACTTCGATAACTGTATCAGCAATACTTTCCACATTCTCGTCTCCTTTGAGAAGTAGTCCCATCATAAGTAATAAAAGCAGGAACAGCATTTTTTAGGTAGTTTTTTTATATTTGCACTGCACATTAAATAATGGTAATCTTATAATTGAAGGGTCTGGAAATGCACCATTCTTGTTCCGGCTAGTTCTGATAGTTGGAATCGTAACATATAGTTGCAAGGTTATATTTAATTATTTGGAACCAGGGAATAAGCATATTGAAATAACTTTTACTTTTTATCATGTATTTACCAATTTTTTCATCGATTAAAAATAAAAAAATTGTAGATTTTCAATTAATAGGATCGTTGTGTCAAATTCTAGACTTCATTCAGTGCGGAATGGTGTGAATATGCGGATTTCTAGACTCCTCAACTACAAGATAACCTTAAATAATTATTAGGTACATCAGAAAAAACATTGTTTAAATTATTAACCAGTGTATGTACAAATTATTCAATACACAAATACCAACATCTACGACCCCAAACTACATTTATTTACTTAAAGGGATTAACTCCTATAAAAATACAGAATTGAAAAATCTTAAATATTTCTTACTACTCAAATTTGTATTAATTTAAAATCAGTACTTCTATAAAAACCTAGTAAATACATTTAAAGAACTGGAACAAAACACATTATTATTAAACAAATGTATATTTAAACACTTGAAAATAAAAAGGCTACAAGTAAAATAAATTTATCATAGTATCTATTTGATTCTTATAACCAGATACAACTTTCTAGCATTATAATCAGGCTAAAAGGAATAAGTCAGATTTTATTTATTCACAGGGTCAGAAAAATATCAAAAGAAATAGGTACCTTGTGTATATGCAATTTATACCATGAACACATTATAATAGGGTCCAAGTCATAACATTATTAGTACCAAGGGGACAGGATAAATAATACGAAATATTTATATAGTAAAACTTTATACTAATAATTATTTTTATTACAGAAAAGACAAAGTTGAATAACCTATTTACATAACCTACAATCATTTAAAAGGTAGACATTAAACATATTTACTTGAAAAATAACGTTTCCTAGTAGATTTCTTAGCACTTTTTCACGGATAACATAATTTACATTAAAATGGTTTTCACAAATGGAACTTTTGGGTTTAATGTTTATTTCCATACCACCTAAATAATTGCACCATATTCTGTATAACTGTTTTTTGGCATTATAAAACTGCTATCAATATGTTGAAGACTCTCTCCCATAATCACAATTAAAAACAGCTCAACGATCCACCATGATTTATATATTTTTAGATTTTAAAAAATATTTATCTGTCAACACTTTTCAAATTGCAGCTCCTACCACCTTCATCTTTTATTTACTTTCTCGCCGGATAGATACTAGCGAACCTAGCGGATTTTAGCTAGGAAGTACGATCGGTTTTATCGCCGTTTTCATTTGTTTTTAAATAGGAGTTGATACACCTTATAGTACACCGTGGCTGATGTTAATGCTAAAAAGCAGTGTTGCCAGAGTACCCTGAAGGAATGTAATAGATGAACTCTCAAAATTGTAATAAATTTCAAGAAAATGTAATAGAAATTTTAGTCAACTTAAAATGAACTATACATAAAAAATACGATTCTATTGCTGCGTTTGAGATTTCACATCGGATTCATCTGAGATGTAGTAAATCTTTAATCACGTGATTAAGTATACGTAAATGTAATAGGACAGATGTGTCCGATGTAGATAAAAAAACACTCGAGATGTAAAAAATGCATCCGATGTGGATTCTCAAACGCGGCAATTGTATTGATTTTTGTCGCATTTGAAAATCCACATCCGATGCATTTTTTTACATCTCGAGCGTTTGTTTATCCACATCGGACACATCTACATCTGCTGCGTTTGAGAATCCACATCGGATGCATCTGAGATGTAAAAAATCTTTGATCACGTGATTCAGTATACGTAAATGTAATGGGACAGATGTGTCCGATGTGGATATAAAAACGCTCGAGATGTAAAAAATGCATCCGATGTGGATTCTCAAACGCAGCAATCTGCGTTTGTTTATCCGAGATGTACCTATCCAGATTACATTTTTTACATCTCGATTTAAAATGAGATGTGAATGAGGTGGTCGTTCCATGCCGGAAAGTAAGTTTTCTGTGAAGCCAAGTTTGTCAATTTATCCTTTGTTTATGCTAGCGTGAATATAAAAGTAATTAGTTTGTTTAGATTTCAAATTTAGGTTGATTTGTGGTCTCAAAATTCAAATTTAAAAAGTATAAACTTCTAACTTGTCGCAGATAAATTCAGAACGGTTCTGTACTGGGGTTGAAACAAATCTTTTGTAAAGAAAACAAAGAAAAAAGAAATTCTGTCTCCAATGCAAGGTCCGCAATGATATAAGAAACTTTTTAAGCGCTTTGGGCATGTTCAAGAAAATATGTTTGGGATGAACTTAACCAAATAAACCTGTTTAAGATGGTATTAGTTGTATGAAATAATAAACAATATATTAGGAACATAGAAAATCAAGGGTTAGGTTCAAGTTTATCAATCGTTAAAATGTAATAGATTTATTGGACATGTAATAATGTAATAAACCCTTCAAAAATGTAATAGATTTGTTACAATTGTAACAAACTGGCAACACTGCTAAAAAGTGATGTGTGAAACTGACTGCAATCTGACCAATCAGAAATCTACAGAATTGCCAACTTAAACTCAAATCGCTCCTCCTAGTTTAAAAACCACTGATCTGTATTTTTTTATACAGATCAGTGTTAAAAACAGAGTATAGGAACTCTCTCATGAGTTTGAGAATAGGGTACCTGGCAACACTGATGAGAAGTTAGACGTCAAACTGAAGTGTCACGTGCAAAAAGAAGACATAAAGCAAAGGAGGGAACTTTAAATATACAAAGAAATGGCTGGAAATTACGGTAAATATATAGATAGAATGCCACCGATATGCGCCGTAAGTAAACTCTGAAAAGCATTACTTCTATTTTATACATTGTTATGTTATTTTAGGCAGGTAAAGTATTCGAAGATCCGTTAACAAGAGCATCTGTGGCAAAAACTTTTAAAGAATACACAGTCGAAGAGGTAATAGATACTCTTAAAAGCAACGCACATATCGTTAAAGAAGAATTTAAAGATCCTCTTCCGAAACCACCAATAGACAATAAGAATTTTTACCGTACTAATACTGAGGTAAAATATTTATACACTCTTTTATTTTATCATATATGGTAGGTTAACCGACGCATCAGACAAAATAAGGATTTGACGCGTAAGAGGTATAAAAAGTAACTAAGCCCGCACTTGGCGACGTATTCCATTTCTCTCTGTTCATTAGCATTATGTTTCTATATTGTTCTCCTGGAGTTAGGAATGAAAAGTTAACATATTGCATACCCTATATAGATGTGGCGGCTGTCTGCTACACGCGCGTCTTTCTCTGTTACGGTAAAGTGTCATGGATTGCCCCCACGGCACTTATGCCTCACTAGGCCCATTGTGCATCCTTCTAAAGTGATAGGCCCTTCTAAGCTCGTTAGCCAGCCTAATACAGATTTAATGTATTGTTGATAACGTCGCCGAGTGGTAGGGAAGGAGAGAGTAAGACACAAAACTGTGAAATTATATATTTCTCTTAAAAACAATTTTTTCTTCAAAATTTAACCTATCATCAGGTACAAGGTGTGGAACACAAAAGTACATTCTATCTTGATCACTTATTAAAAATATAAAAATTAAATTAAACAAATTCTGTTTATCGCACTGTTCCGACCCTTGTCGGAACAAAGATACAGTAACCTAAAATCTACAAAACATTCAAATTCGAAAAATTAATTTCTAATTTCAGCAAACCTTTTTGACGCTTCGTCAGGACCTGCGTCAGAGGAGGGGGTAAAATCATTTTGATATTATTTTTGAACACTAACGACTCGTCAGGAACAGCAGGAATTAGAAATGTTTCATAGTGGGTGACGATGAAGGTCTTTAAAGATGATTAGGTTCAGGTATGCCCCCCCTCCCCTAATAAAATCTTCTCCATCACTAGAATCTTGTAATTCCAGCTGCTCTTCAGCCTCTATATGGTCAGAGTCAGAATCCAGAACTCGTTTTTTTACCTTTTTTTTTGTTTTGGAGTTTTTTCTGATACTCAATCAGTTGCATTTTTTCGGGAGTGTCTGTCACAATCATCGTTCTTCCTTTACGTCTTTTTTTACTTTGTGTAGTTTTCCTTGGACCAGCCTTGGGGTAACCTTTAAAAACACTTGGACTCACAAAGTTTCCAACTTGGCTTTTCTTTAGTTCTGAAGGGGGTTCGCCTGAAATAATGAGCGATCTATTTTTAGTCTCAATTCCAGAATATTTCTCAACACGTTCAGCGTTTAATCCAGAAGTGGATGCAGCATCCTCTATAATTTGTTCTCGATCAGTTACAGAGCTGGGCAGGAAATCTTCAGTGAATATATATTTGTCGAATGGAAAGATATCCGTTTTTCTGAATGCATTTGCAATATTTATTGGAGTCATTGCCCTTGCATATGCTGTCCCCACGCATGATGCAATATTATAGATAGTGAATGTTTGTTCTGGGTGATTCATCATCCAGGCATCTAAAGCTGCATTGTAAAACGTTTGAAAAGGTTTCAGTAAGACGACATCCAACGGCTGCAGTTTGTTCGTACAATGCAGTGGTAAAGTTAAAATCGTAACACCGTTGTCTTTGCAAAGGTCAATTGCCTCAATCGACAAGTGACTTTGGTGGTTATCCATTATAACCAAAGACGGATTTTCTCTCGAGCTATTGGTATTCTTAATAAAATGTTAGATAACAAAACACTCGGTGTTCATCCACCCTGCTTTTGTAGCCAAGCCTAAAGTCCCGGGTGGAGCACCATAGGTCATAAAATCTTTAAAGTGCACTCGTGGAAATATCTTCACGGGCGGGATAGCAATTCCAGACGATCCAACAATACAACATGTTGTTACAAGAGTACCGCGTTCTGCACTTGTAGCCTTACTGACTTGACGTGTTCCTTTCTCAGCAAATACTTTTTGAGATTTTTGCACCGTAACTGTGCCGGTTTCATCAGGATTAAATATGCGACTGCCATTTCCAAATGCAGGACACCGCTTCAAAACTTCTTCCAGTTTATTAAAAACAGATTCAACGTTGAATTTGTTGAATTCCGTTGCTCTTGGCAATCTACATCCTTCTGGAGTTCTTAAAATCAAGTTAGGATGACGTTTCTGGAACCCTTTAATCCATGCAAGAGTTGCACTTTCTGTGGTTTACCATTTTCTAGGCACATTTATATTATTTTTTATTGTACATTCATAGGCCAAGCGACGAGTGTCTTCTCGGGATAAGCCGTAGAACATTTTAGCACACGTAATAATATATTCGGAAAGAATATCTCTTGTTCATTGGTGAAAATTTGTCTGATTCGGTAGTTGGGACGTAGACGGATTTCAGGATTTTGCATATATTTTTTGAAATATCTGTGAACAGTCTGAAACGACAATTTCTTTATTCTAGCAGCTTTTCGTATACTCATGCCTTCTTGAACTAATTGAAGAGCTTCCCTCATCGACTCCTCTGAAAACCGCCCAATTTTTTTGTTGGTTTTATTTATTCTTGGCATCTTGTCTGCAAAATAAATAAACAATAATTATAACATGTAGGTAGTATAGAATTGTACTTAGAGAAAAAATAACCCATCCGACAGTATCAGTGTTCCACTTGAGAACAGTGAGACAGTCTCAGTGTTCCAGACAAGACACTCAACTTAAAAGCTCATGAATATGGTCCTGATTAACATAAACACATGAATAAAAATCCTTACCTTGAATAATTCAACTTCTTAAGGATAAAAATGACGCTTCTAACACACACTGCGAAATACTTCGACCTTCATCCTTTGAATTTCAGCGCGAACTTAATTGAACTTCGCCCGATGCTTCAAAATGTCTTTCCCAATGATACATGACACTACGGAAGCGTTGTATTTAAAAATAATCTATTTGTCTCACTGTTCTGACCGTCTCACTGTTACTACCTCTCCCCTACGTCTTACATTGGCAGGTGTTAGTCAATATACTCGCTGAACGCAAAATATTTTAATTAATGAAAGCATCCGGCAATCGTAGATGATACTTGTTTTATGATATCATCTTCTTGTTCGCGCCCCTGCAGAGTGCAGATTCTGACAGCCCCATACTATGGCGATGCTTCCGCAAACACCAAGCAGGCGCAGGTTCTGTCTAGTCATAGTCAAGTATTTGTTTGCTGTGGTGTTGTCGGGATAACTTTAAAAAAACTCCCTGGCAACTCTACAGCTTCTTGTTTCATCCCATCTTTTCTTGAATTTTACAAGGGAATAGTATTTATAATTAGGTTTGTCACTGCCACCCAGACAACACACCAAATCCCAGAGATATCCACAAAATATCTTTTGTGGATATCCAAGATATCCACAGGATATCAGAAATATCCCGTGGATCTAATATGGATATCCAAATGTCCGTCTATCTATATCCAGAATATAGAAGATATCCTATGGATATCCAGCAAAATATCTAATGGGTATCTCCCAGACAATACAAGAAATCCCAGAGATATCCACATAATTAATTTTGTGGATATCCAGTGGATCTAATATGGATATCCAAATGTCCGTCTATATCCCTGGATAAAGAAGATATTCTATGGATATTCAGCAAAATATTTTATGGGTATCTTTAGTAGAGGTTCATAAGTAACCAATGATTATTGAATAACGTCGAAAGAAAATAGCAGAGATAGAAAATATTTTCAATACTCTACCTTTGATTTTGCCCACTAAGGAGAAAGTCATCCTCAGCAATAAATATAAATTCTCGACTCCAGCCTCTAATGGAGTCTGATTGCAATACCAATTTCGATCGAACTCAATTACGGCGGGTTAAGCATGAGTAGATATTCAACGAGCGAAAGTGGTATCGCCATCTATACTAAGTAATCAAAATCAAAGGTCGCTGTAGTACCTAGTTTAGAGACTAGGTGGAATAAAAGCCAGGCGGCTATTCTTAGAAAAGGAAATAATTCTAGTCCTAATAAGGACGAAACCGGTCCAAGAATGACTTTCTTCTTAGTGGGCAAAATCAAAAATTACATCTAGTGGATATACACCATGGTTTGCATTCGCGCCTAGACTTTGATATATTTAGTGGATGTCCATTGGATATTGAATACACCTTAAAAAAATTAATTTTAAATATCTGAACGGTACTATTAACCACAATGGCGAGCACAATGGCGTAATTTTTTAATTATTTGCTATATAATTACTATTATTTATGGACATTTGCATGCCTATAAATTACATCTCATGGATATAAAATAGATATCCACCATGGACTGGACATTCAGTGGATATTGGGATGTCCAGTAGATATCCAAAGGATTTGGTGTGCTGTCTGGGCAATGTTGTCAGGTCCAAAAAGTATTTGGTTGGCTGTTTTCTTGGCTAGTGAATCAGTAAGACGATGTGCCACACGTCTTATTTTATGGTCAATTTTCCGTTTTTTTCCTTCATATCAAGAACCATGGTGTGTACTACCTCCGATATATGTCGTTGAGCTATCTCATATTTCTTTCATGTACTTGCAAAGCTACCGCTATTTTTCTGCCCTTTCCTGTAAATTTCATTGTTGATAGAGGATCAACTATTAATGAATAAAAAAAATTAGATTAGCGGTATCCTGAAACCAGGAGTTAGCACACGATATCAAACTCTGCTTGACGAATTGGACGAAACAACTCATGATTCCTTCTGGAATAAAGAACTTGGGAAGCAAAATGACCCGACACCTGCCTTACCAAAAGGAATGGTCCCGGTACTAGAAAGATTTGGAAAGAAAAACGATTACTGTAAATATTTATTTTTATATTAAATTGAGAAACGATTCCTATGAGCTTTTACAGAATATATATATATATATATATAGACGTTTATTTTCCATTCACTGTAAGATGTCTCTGATGGTAAACTTAATTTTTAAAAATTATCATTGTTCTACAAATAAACGCTAGAAAGCAGTATGTATTTTTAGTGTTTTTTACGCATTACTGTTTTTTATGATATTCTATAAAGGCTAATAGGAAATAGGAGAATAATTTTAATTTAAAACTGCTAAAACAAATTGAAGATGGTTACGCCATCTAAGGAGTTTCTGTTCAAGCAATAATTAATTTTTCTGCAAGATCCGTAGACTATTTAGGCCAGTCATAGGCCTTTTTATCATGTGATGAGCGCAAGCGCAGCCACCATGTTGAAATAGCGCCAATTCAAAAGTTTCGTACTGTTTTGATCAACAATGGCTGGAGAAGAAGTATTATCTCTACATACAAATCAATCATTAGAAAAAATAACTCTGTGGAAGCACATAGTTGTGAGCAATTAAAAAGGTTCTTGAAGTGACGTGGACGTTCGGAACAAGGAAAAAACTGTGATGATTGAGAGGTTAGGTTTCAATGCAACTGTGTAAAAAATTAATGAAAACAAATATTAATTATAACTCTATTCTAGTATTCTAGTAAAGTTATTCACGAGTATAATTAATGAGATAAATTATTTAAAATTTTAAGGATCAACATGATATTTTTAATAATATTACTGTGTATACCGAAGTAATATTTAATATTAAAAAACATTGTGTAATACCAGACAAGGATTTTCTTCTGTTGAACCACTTTCTCCATGAAAATGTAGTGAACAAATATAAGTATAAGTAATATAAATATATATTAGTAACATCATCCATCAATCGATCGAAAACCTTTGTCACTTCGACCACATTATTTCACCCATAATGCTCATTTTGAACATGTTTTAATATGTATTTTGCCTAATGATTTGATAGTTTTTTACGATATTGTATGTGTGTCACTTTTACATACTCATAATATCGTTTAGTTTTTCCTTTCCGTAAAGATAACACAATTAATTGATTGCAAAAATTGATTTTTCAATTAAGACACTTATTACTTTACTTTTTTTATCCCATTTGTTAAACAAATACACCTAAAATTAATATTTATCGATTATAATTTTTTTCACGTGGACATTATAACATGTTTGTTTACAAAAAACAGTACGAAAAAGATGGCCGATACAGACGCATGCGCACAAAAAAATTGTGATGAAAAGGCCTATTAAAGATAATCAATTCACATTAATTACAAAAGTTTTTAAACTTTGTTGGAATATTTATTAAATTGAAATGATTATAAATTTAATTTTGCACCTTTTTTTTGAGATCCGGAACATATAATAATTGCAAAAAATTAAAATTTATTATAACTTTCTAAAAACAATTGCAAAACTGCTACAAACTTGAAGCAATATAATAATTATCTTGTATTATTTTCAATATTATATGATTTGCAACTTTCTGTGAAGTCCAGAACACGATTTTTTTTTGTAAAATAGCGTTTTTGTTTATATCGTAGATAAAAAATTGCGATAGTTCTGCAAATCGATGACAAAACTCGGACTGTTTTTGGACATACAAGTTATTGGAACAGCTATTCCAATTTGCAAACTTTTATTTTGTACGGAAATATCAAAATAATTCTTTATTTCCCTCTAATTTTGTCAACAAAAAAAATGCAGAAGTTTTGAAAATTGATTGCAAATGGTAATATTATTTTTCTCAACAATCTGGTAAATTTGCAACCTCAGACAAAGTCCGGAACCTTGAAAAATGAAAAAAATCAATAATTCGCACTTTTTGCGATCACAATTTTTTTTAAACGTATTTAAAATTTTATAGAGCGATTTAAATAACTTCCTATAAGTAAATGCACATTTTCCTTCGCTTGTCCTTGATATAATTACATTGTAGTTTCCTTGAAACCTACTCATCAGCACGTATTTTTTCTAGAGTAAACAAAATGCCCCATATTCACTGCTCCTATCTTATACCAAACCTGCATAGACTGCATATCATTCCTTTTTTCGTGCTCACCAACAACGGCCTAAATTATATTTAAAAGTGAATTTAAAAATTAAAAATGATAAAACGCTCATTTTTCTTAAGATCGGGATAAAAATAGTGCAAAACAAAATTGATAAGGTAGTTAGGTGAAATACTTACAGGAACAAATAAAAAGAGTATAGCTCTAACGAAGAATCAACAGATAGGCTGTTATTATATTTTATCATTAACATAAAATATTGCTTATACAGGGGAAGCCATAGGGGGAAGCCATAGGGGGAAGCCATAGGGGGAAGCCGTACGTTAACCCTTCTGAATATCGAAAATAAACTATTTTATTTTATAAAACAATGCAATTATATTTAAAAGTAATTATAATTACTATTATTATAATAATTCGTTTTGGTTCGTTTACCAATCAATATTTTACATTCTAAGTATATTTTATATTCGTTAACATCAACAAAGATTAATGTGTTCCCTCGAAATATCCCATAGATAAAATCTTAAGTTTGTTTGGATATCGTATTATACAACATCGTTGTCGTCGTCATATTTCTTGCGTATTTGAAAAAATCGTGATAAAAATAAAAAAATATCTTTTAAAATACCGGGCGGTATTTTCTAAGAGGAAATCCAGCAATTTCGTTGAGACGAAATATTCATTTAATCTTGTCTTTTATCATCCTATTGTTTGAATTAACAATTAGGCGTTCCTTATTCTTGCATAAATATAGATCATTAGGTAGTCGAGCGATTCTTGATGATTTTTCTGTTTTGACTTATACAGGGAAGAACGTGTGTTACCCCTTCTGAATACTTTTGCAGTATTTCTATGTAAAAATGGTATCTTTTAAAATACCGGGCGGTATTTTCTAAGAGGAAATCGAGCGATTTCATTGAGACGAAATATTCATTTAGTATTCGCGATTCAAGCTAAGTGATACGCCCTTTGGAGGAAATTTGTAGAAGGTCTGTATAAGTAGGATATCGTTCAGTGTTGCCAGAAGTAGCAAAACTTCGCTACGTCGTACGATTTTAGGTCTTGAAGAAGTGGATAAGATCTTTTATTTAAGAATCAAAATTTGTGTATGGTAATATGTTATCATACTCTATATTTATTTAAGGATTTTTTTATAAAACCGATTTATTATACTGATTTTTTTTAAATTTCAGTTCATTTATTAAATTTGTTTTAAAATCAATTCATCATTTGGCAACATTGGCGTTCGTGTTCATTGTTTACATTTTAATTTGCATCAATTACAATTCGAGTTTATTCTTACTTTTTAGCTTTAAATTTGTTTATTTCTTATAGCATGTGATAGTGTTTATATTAAAAATTAAATCTGCGAAAAAGTCCCCAGAACATTGCAATCTATATGGTGTAAATGTCAAAATGAAAACTGAAGTATTTCATTATTTTCCAAGTAAAAGTCATAAAATTTTGATTTTTACGATAAATGGATATCTACAAATTCACAATATTGAAATTTTACAAAACTTTGTTTAGAATCAAACTGTGATCTTATTTTTTGACGGTTTTATTACCATTTACATGTATACAAAGTACTAGATGATTCACTTTATAATATAAGAATAAGTCTAGTAAGATTTTTAAATAAGTTCATCAATAATAAACGTGTGGTACCTGAAATGTTCTTTAAACTACATAATAAAACATGTCCTGGGTTTAGTGAATACATATTTCTAGATGTTCTTGTAGCAACCAATAGGTGAATATTTCCAACAAATTAAGTCATACACATGATAAATATTATATTTATGACGAAAGCACGAGACTTAAACTTAAATTAACATTAAATGAAACTCAAAAACACTATTATAATGAAAATATTATCTAAAAACAGTTAAAAATATCACAAATACAAAATCCGCCCAAAACCAAAACATGTAAATAAACAAACATCCTACTTATAGATGACAAATGACAGGCGCGCGAAAATTAATTTGAATCGCCAATTGTCTTTATGACCCTACGTTTTGAATTAACAGAATCGAGGTTCATTATTCTTGCATAAATATGGATCATTAGGAAGTCGAGCGATTCTTGATGATTTTTCTCTTTTTATGGACTTATTCAGATAAGAATGTGTGTTATCCCTTCTAAATACTTTTGTACTAATTCTTTGTAAAAATAATATCTTTTAAAATACCGGACGGTATTTTCTAAGAGCCAATCGAGCAATTTCATTGAGGTGAAATATTCATTTAACCCTGTCTTAACTCTAGTGTTTGAATTAACAGAATAGTTGTTCGCTATTCTTGTATAAATATAGATCATTAGGCAGTCGAGAGATTCTTGATGATTTTTCTGTTTTTATGGATTATTCAGATAAGATGTGTGTTATGCCTTCTAAATATTTTGTACTAATTCTATGTAAAAATATCTTTTAAAATACCGGGCGGTATTTTCTAAGAGGAAATCGAGCGATTTCATTGAGACGAAATACTTATTTAACTTTATCTTAATCCTGCTGTTTGGATTAAGCAGATTAGACCTTTATTATTCTTGCATAAATATATATCATTAGGAAGTCGGACTTTTCTTGATGATATTAGTTTTTTCTCTGCATTTATACAGGGAAGAACGTGTGTTATCCCTTCTAAATACTGAAAAAATCATGCGATTTTTCAGTAATTCTATACAAAAATAATGTATTTTAAAATACCGGGTTGTCTTTTATATTCCTACTTTATGAATTACGCAGAATAGACGTTTACTATTCTTTCATAAATATAGATCATTAGGAAGCCAAGCAATTCTTGATGATTTTTCTGTTTCTACGGATTTATACAGGGAAGAATGTGAATAAAAAATTATTAGTTTTCTTTGACTAATAAATGTTTTTTAAATAATAAAAAATACATGCGATTTTTTGTGTGTTACATAAAAATTATATGCAGTGG